CTCTTTTTTTTTTAAACAAGTTCATTGAAGTGGGTTGTTAAGTGAACATGTGTTTTATTTTTATAATTCACTGGTAATATATATCATTAATATCAAATCAGTTTTGTCAGTTTCTTAATTGCAATTGTAGAATGATCTCATGTATCGATATTATACAATATAATTGGCTACAATAGATTATTAATCATCACTGGTCATAATCTTGACTTATTCGGACTTAATGTTGAGGAACCTGCAGTAAGGAAAGAACATATGAAAAATGAATAGCTGTATCATCCTATATTCATCCTTGCATTCTTTTTGGCACCACCATCCTTACATAATTCTACATTTACAAGTATGTTTTTTTATTACTTGTTTTCTGAGTTTTTATCCCCTGACTGAAATTATATGTATTCTATAATATGCAATAAAATTTAATATTATGTGTATTGATTTTTTTATTTAATTCTTCACTTCATATAGGGGTTGGCTCCCTAAAGACACCAATTGTATAGTGTACAAAGCATTGAGTATTCTACATGTTATAGTCATCTATTATTTTATTGGCTGGTAATTCCTGTTTAACTCTGTACTTTGCATTCAATCTATCACTCTATGATGCTTACAAGTCACTGCTAAAGTTGAGTTATAGCTTATTTGAGCATATAATTGCAATTATCGAGTGTTTCACAGCTTGTGAGACTTCCAATATCATTGAAAACTGTTGCTAAAGTGGAGAACTGGGAACTAGCTAAAGAGTCAAAGTGTTCATCTTCCATTTTATTTTTTCATGATAGCCAAAAAATGTGTGAAGTTTTTGCAATGGTTTCAGTACGACAAAAAGCATTTAAGAGTATTTGAGAACAGGCTATCACTAAGCACTGTAGTGCTTAGTTTAAACAAAAAAAACCTTAATAATAGTGTAAACGATCTGGTGTTCCTTTAAAAAGCTTACATACTAAGCACTACTATGCTTCGTGATAGATAATTTTTGCTGAGTTACTTTTGTGTGCTATATAGAAAAACATTTAATAATGTTGATACGTTCATGGAGCCGTTTTTCACTTTGATACTAATTAGTGAAATTAACGGCAGTGCAGAAAAAAAAAGGCCTTGCCCTAGAAATAGTTATTACCCGGTGGTTTTCACCCATGTGTGCGTGTTTGTCAGCAAGATTTTTCGAAAACGGCTGAATGGATTTGAATGAAAATTTGTATACATGTGGACTATGACCCAACTTAGAAGTGATTAGGTTTTGGAAGGTCAAACGTCAAGGTCATAGCAAGGTCTATCTGTTAACAGGGGGACCGATTTTTCACACTATTTGTGCTACATAACTCTGTCAAAAGGATTGGATTTTGATGAAACTTGATGGAAATGTATGTAAAATATTATTCCTCATTGTCCTTTCTAAAACAGTCCATGTCTGTTCGTAAAGGCGGACATACGGACACATTTTCGTTTTTTTGAGAGCTGAATATGACCAATACTACGTGGCGGAGGTATGCCCGTCTAGTTTGTATATATTTTATGTGCATTTTAAAACAGTATTATCTTTCGGATATGTGTGCACAAAGCGTATAAAATATTTTGGGGGCAAGGCATTTTCCTTGCAGATATCAAGTTCCTAAGAAACTGCAAATTCATCATTCTGTACTACTGTCACGTTATTTCACTGGTTAGTGACTGGTGTGAAGAACGGTTTGCCACATAAATATTCCAGCTTTACTTATGAAATACTGCATATGCCCATATAATATATAAATGATCAATTATTTCCGGATCAAGGCGTTCTTCATACATATGAGCTCCGTACAATTACGTCACTTAATTTTCAGTAACAGTGACTTCACTTTAACAAGCGTTACTTAAAACATAAAAATGTTACATGTATTCAGGGGTTCAAAAAAACAAAAGAGATTCCTCAATAACCATGGCACTTGAAATTATTTTTGGCAGGATTAGAGTAAATTAATCTAGGTATTTTTTTAGCTACATTTTTGTGCGCCAGCAATACCAAGCGTGGGTGCGCGTATACCTTATTCGATTTTATTACTCATCAGGATCTCTACCAGCCTACCCTCAAACTGAAATTGTTTTAGGTAGGATTAGAGTAAATTAATCTACAAGACCTTGGGCGTGGTCAAATACATAAATCGAATGATGATGATGACAAAACCTTGTCGAAATGTTGTACATTTGCTATTATGTTAAAC